AATCCAGAACAAAACACTCAGGTCAAAAGACAAATGACACCTCAAGAGAAATATATTTGTAAGTTATCACCAACAAGGGTTGAATTCCTTAATATTAAAAAAGTTCTTATAACCAATAAATTGGATTAATAATCCAATAGCAAAATGGGCAGATAAACCATGAAAAAAAAAAAAAAAAAGAGTTCACAGAAAAACTTAAACTGATGTGCAAACATACAGAAAGTGATTCAACATTTTAATAAGGGAAATGCAGATTAAAACTCAGATAACATTTTTACCATCTATCAGACTGGCAAGAATACAAGTTTGACACCATGCTATTCACTGTGGGGAAATAGATAATCTAGTACACTGCAATTTTATTTCACTTAGCTAGTGGAAGTGTAAAATGGCATCAAATGAAAGAAAAAACCAAGGTGCAGAATAGTGGGTATACATAAAAAAACATTGAGAGTATAAAAGAAATGCCCATTACCTTACAAATCATTTGAATATAGAAGGCAGGGAACTAGGATATGGGCCAAGTTCTTATTGTATACCTTTCTACATCATTAAAAAAAATGTTTATTTAAATCATTTTTATGTTTCAATTACAGTTGATATATAAATATTATATTAACACTAGACACCTGATGCATGAAGATTAGTGCAGAATGGGTCTTCCTTACCCTGGCTGCCAGCACAACCTTTGCAATTTTGATTTCTGAACTATGTATTACCCATTTCAAAAGGACAAAAAAATATTTTTAAATAACTGAAGTTTTAATTCTAAGAGTGGCAGTACAGTATCAGTAAAAAGGACATTTGGTTGGATATTGAGAGAAACAAATGTTATGTGGGCCCAAATTTCCTTTTTGTAACGGAGGGAGTTGGATTACATAATCTCATTAAGATGATACCAGGATTTCTAGCCTGACTTTAAAACACAATAGCTATAAAACCTTACCTAATTCTCTTCCACATCCTGAAGTAAGGGCAATAGTTAATACCCAACTCACAAAGTTGTGGAAAGGATTAAATACATGTAAAGAACTTAGAACAGTGTATGGTAAATGCTCTACAAATGTTATAAACTACTATCCTAGTTTCTAGCTCTGCAGCTCTATGACTCTCTAACTACTAGCATATTAAAAGCAGAACTAATGCTCCAAATTTAAAATAGTTGGCAGGATAAAGCTTACCTGAAAAAAGAAAACAATAATATTAATTGCTGGGATAACTTTTTAAAATTATTACCTTAGTGAAATATGGGCAGCCCTTGAGTTGCTGCATTAAAAGAAACCCATGCATACTGGAAGCATGCAAAGTGAGGACTATGTAATAATGCTCTTTTATGCAAATTATATCCTATCTAATAAAAGAGTAATATGCAATTTGACCATACCCCTGCTACACCCACAAAGCCATGCCCACCAGTCAATCAGGATTGAGTATGCAAATTAAACCAACCAAGGTGGCTTCGGCCATGGAGCGAGCAGGAGGCTTGGTTTTCCCAGCAATGGAGGAAGCCAAGCTTTCCGCACACCATGGCTGGCCATGGACTCCACTCAAGGCTACAAAGTTTCAATTATAGAAGATAAATAAATCCCAACAAAAATGGCTGCGGCCACTGGGCAAGCAGAAGGCTTGGGTTTCCCCAGTGATGAAGGAAGCCAAGCTTTTCACTGCCCTGGCTTGCCTGAGACTCTGCTCAAGGCTACAAAGTTTCAATTATAGCAGATAAATAAACCCCAGATACCAGGGTCTCTGCTTGGATTAATGGGGGGTGTGGCCGGCCTGCAAACAGCCACAGGACCCTTGCCCAGGCCATTCCACGCCCCAAGGGAACCCCCACCCTGATCTGAGACACCCTTAAAGGCAAACCAGCTAGCCCCTACCTGCGCACCAGGCATCTATCCTATTCTAATAAAATATGCAATTGACTGTCACTCCGACACACAAAATGGCTGCCCTCATGTGGTCACAAGATGGCCACCACAAGATGGTTAGCAAGGGAGGGCAGTTGGGGGGAACCAGGCCTGCAGGGGAGGGCAGTTAGGGGCAATCAGGCTGGCAGGAGAGCAGTTAGGCATCAATCAGGCTGGCAGGGGAGTCGTTAGGAGTGATCAGGCTAGCAGGCAGAAGTGGTTAGGGGCAATCAAGAAGGCAGGCAGGTGAGCAGTTGGGAGGCAGTAGTCCTGAATTGTGAGAGGGATCCCAGATTGAGGATGGTGCAGGCTGGGCTGAGGGACACCCCTGCTCCCTGCATGAATTTCATGCACTGGGCCTCTAGTTATTCTGATGTTCACCAAATCATGATACACAATAGAGAAAAATGGTAGATAATTAAATATCCAAATAAGGAGGTGGTTAACTAACCTATGGTTAACTAACCAATGGTATATCAATCTGGTGAAATATTATACAATAATAGAAAGTGATACTGATTTAGTGTTTAACAACATAACAAATAATTATAAGAAAAAATATAAACTATAAAATGTAATATATGAATACTGCTCTATAAATAAAACAGTACAGAAAAATGACTGAAATTTTACCAGTAGTTTTCTTTGATAGTAGAATGAGGAACATTGTTTTTTTTTCCATTTTCTATTTTTCTACATTTTTTAAAATGAAAAGAAAAACTACTACTGAGTGCAAAAATGCTATAGTATCTGTCCACTGTATCATCATGTTGAAAATAAGATCAATACAATAAAATCCTATTCAAGCTAGCTGCTCTATTCCTTCAAAATAAAATCAGAAATTGAGCATTGAAAGCTATCAAAATATCTTGTCATTGCTCTCTCTGATCATCTGATGGATTCTTCACAAGATAAACACCCAGAATAGCTAAAAGAAAGCCAGACCCCACTTTCTGACTACAACTATTCTTTTTGTTTATGTTTACATATTTATGTTTGTCTATAGGTTTAAGTCAAGAAAAAGTGCATACCCTATGCCACAGAGTATATGAACCATTGAAGATATTTTGAAAAACAAATAGACACTGAAAATGTAATTTCAGACCAACCTAATGGTTTAATTACTAGAAATCACGTAACAGGGTATCAATATTTTACAGGATGAAAGAGAACCACAGACAAAATAATTAAGGCTGAATCATCTTACCTTTAATACAAGTTATTATGTTTCCCCTATTTTATTTTCTAAATAAAAATATCTCTTATTTCTACTTTGTGGATTTCAAGTTTAGTATTTTTCCATTCTTTGTAAAAAACATGAAAAGCCAATATTTTAAGCTTCTAGTGTTAAAGTTTTAAAATAAGATTCTAGAGTATTACTTTCTGTAGATTCATTTCCTAATGGTGGCCTCTGGGCATAGAGAATTAATAGAAAAGGGACATGATAGAGCTTTCTAGGACTATAAATGTTTTAAAAGTTGTTTTGGGTGGTATTTTCAGAGATGTAGATTTAACCACCAAAAATCATCAGCTTGAACATTTAACTGCATTTTACTGTGTGTAAATTATACCTACAAAAAATTTCCTCTTAAATTACTGGCATGTATACTTATAAAATACTTTACCTAGTATCAAAAATTCTTTAGGCCACATATGTCTGTGTGTGAGTTGACATGTGTTAAATCATGCTCATAAAAAGAGATACAATTCCTAACAGAGTCTCAGTTATTACTACCCACACCACAACTGAACATATGCCCAAACATGAACATTGAGGTACACTCCTTTTTTTTTGCCAAATACTCTACAAAATCAGACCAAACTAACAAATCACATTTCCCCCAACAACCCACCATACACACATAAAAAAAACTAATCCTCAATATTAGCTGTAATATATGGGTTATATCCAAAATAACCCATAATATTTAATTTAAAATCTTTCAAATTACAAAATTATACCTACTATTGTATATTTTCAATAACCTAATTCAATGGTCGGCAAACCACAGCTTGTGAGCCACATTCGGCTCTTTGGCCTCTTGAGTGTTCTAACGCCAATTCTTCAAAATAGACTTGCCCAGGCTGAAAACCGACTTCTGTGTATGGGCCACGAAGTTTCAATCGCACTGTACGTGAGCGCCCACACGTGGTATTTTGTGCAAGAGCCATACTCAAGGGGCCAAAGAGCCACATGTGGCTCGCGAGCCACAGTTTGCCGACCACTAACCTAATTAATATAAAAATCATCATTTTTTTCATATGATGACTAACTTAATGGCAAAATTATTAATCGCAAATTTTACTACTGTTGTAATGTTTTTAGGAGAAAAGAAAAAGCAAGCTTGGGTGAAAAACAAAAACAAAAAACCACCAAAAGCCCAAACCAAGGAATTTCTGAAAAGTGTAAGCATTCCAGGAGGAAGCACAGTATAGCTTCAGATGGTCATTCCCACAGTTCTTAGGAAAACCACTACAATATCCCAAGGAGAAAAACTGTAGAGACACTTATGATAGAGGATCAACTTGCTGGCACATGAAAAGTGTGAGTAGAATATAACTTCAAACAAGCGGTTAAAAAAACCAATCAGCAAACCCAAGACAAAGAAAAGCCTTGCTGTAAGAGGAAAATGCCTAGGTTTACAGAAATGATACATACCCGTCTGTCGATCTTATCACCCTGTAAATTATACATTAAAAATTATTCATAAATATTACTGCTTTATAAAAATTTAAATCTAGAAAAAATCCCTCAAATACAATTTCTATAAACCCAAACTAATACTTTGGGACAGCACAGTTCTAATCTTTTATTATATAACAATGCACATATATTTTAGAGGAGAAAGAATAATTTTATAGCACTGTGATTACTAAGAGTGGAAAGACACCATTATCTTGAGAATTTCTCTTTATGTGTGAATTATAATTACAATGTTAGAGCAAAGTCTATAGTGATGGTGGTTAGACAGTTAATTGCTGTTTGACTTAAGAAAAGCTGTTTTCAACTGACAGCAACATGAAAATACCAAGTATTAAATAAGTAAAAACATGAATATTTTGGGATAGTTTTAAACAATAAGAGATAAATGGTAAATCAAAGCTATAAGCTTTCCATCGAAGTAATGTTAAACAACAAAGGGAGTTTTTAACTCCCCTTTCACTTACAGTTAAGTTTTTAAATCCTCATTCAAGGATATGTTGCTATTGATTTTTAAAGAGAGAGAGAGAGACATCGATGTACGAATCAATTGGTTGCCTTCAGCATGAATCCCGAGTGGGGATCGAACCTGCAACCTAGGTCTGTGCCCTGACTGGGAATTGAACCTGCAACCGTTTATTGTACTGGACAATGCTTCAGCCAACTGAGCCACCGAGCCAGGGCTACAGTTAATTTTTAAGCTTTCATTTATCACTCCTATGGATGACACTGATGTTTCTTTAAAGCTAACAATAAAACAATTCCATCAGTGTAGCAAATTTAAAAACTAAGGAAGATCCGGCACATTATCATGGTACGGGGTATCAGACAATACCAGTGGATACAGCAATTTAGACTTACCCACATTTTTACTCCCCCCGACCCAGTGACTCTGAATGTTGATGCCTTTACCCTGTTGCTAAAGCATGAACTTGAATTGTTCAACAGCAAGTCTGGCACGGGTAGGCAATCATCTAATAGTAAGTGATATTCTAAATGAGTTAGAATCGATACTTCGAGATTACTGTTCTTATCAATAGTCTGAAGGAATGTAAACATTTTTAGCTATGCTTTTCTCTATCATACTAGGTAAAATTACATGCCTTGGAGTTTTGAGAACTCATAAACATCAAGGGATACACAGTTTAACTATACAAGCCGTGGACTGGTATTCTAGTTTTGTTTTCTGAAAGGAAGTTCAATTGCTCTGTGTCTGGGTGAGAAAGAGGGAGGTACATGGCTACGAACCACTTTACTCCCTCTCTCTTAAAGTGAGCTAGATTAAAACGACAGAGAAAATGACATGCAAGAACAATGTGGATGATTAAAAAACAAAAAGCAATAAACACCTTTGCCTAGAATATGTGTTTCCATCATGATGCAGATCTTATTATAAAAATATTTGGCAAAACCATTCTTGTAAGAATATTTATGGCTTTTTCTCTAAAAACTGTTTCAGGTTATAATGTGCTAATAAGCAGGTAAGTCAGTCCTTGCCCCTTCCCTTTTTTATCTGTACAGTCTACTAAGAACAGCCTTAAATTCTTATATCATTGGCATTAAAACATGTAAGCCAAACCTCCCTCCTGCCCTTAGAGAAGTTCCATTGGCTACTTTACCTGTGAAAGGATGTTGGTGCACTGTTGCAATAAAGAAACCGGAGGATTGCCGATACTTGTAGCAAGTTGAACCCTGAGCAACTGTTCTTTCTGGGTGGCATTTTCTTGCAAAGCATGGGCAAGGGCCACAGCAGCACACCAGTTTGAAAGTGAATCAGTAGAAAACAAACCTCCGCATAATAACTGACCAGCAGAGACTGAATGACCTGTTGCTACAAAAATGAAAGGCAGATAATAATAATATAAACATTTATTATGTTGTTTTCCACACACAGAAAAAGTCAAAATACTATCTAAAAATGTGCTAGTAAGTAGTATCTATCTATATAATAGAGGAATATGCAAATTAGCCAGGATGCCGTAATGTCATAACTGAACAGCAGGGACCTGCCTGAGGCTGCATAGCGTCAGGCCGGGGTGAGGGACCTTAGACCACGTCCCTGCCTGGTGGGGCTTGATAGGGGACCCCAGGTCATGCCCCCTGCCCTGGGGGACCTGAGGCTGTGTACTCGGCCCAGCAGAGCTTGACGGGGGACCTGAGACTGCGCCCCCAGCCCAGAGGGGCTTGACAGGAGTGACGTCGGCCAGGTCTGGGACTCCTGCATTTTCGAAGCACAAGCAGGTAGTATGTGGGGACTTGACTCTGGGTCCTGTGGCGTGCCCTAGACTCTGACAGGCGGGAGATTTTCATATACATTTTACTAATTTTCTTTCATCTCTGACACTTCTATTATGGAGAAAGGGCAAATAGCAATATTAAAATATTTCCTCTAATTAATCCCCTTTAATGTGCATGAATTTCATGCACCAGGCCACTAGTTAAGTAATATTTTTGAAAGTCTGTTTTTCAAAACAAATGGAAGATGACCCCTCCCCAAAAAGACCTTGGGAAAAAAGTAGAAGAGTTAAGAAATAGTTGAATACTTTAGGCATCAAATTGATAATAGTAATAGTCCAAACATTTATTACCTTAATTAAACACTACATGTCTAAAGAAAATTCAAGAAAATGCCATAGTTTAAATATTCTGCTACCCCCAGGGTCTTTTATGATTTATGATATATTTTACCATTAAAATCTAGAAAGACAATTATCTACTGTTTAAAGCAGAAATTAAAATAAAATTATTTACCATCAATTGTGGAAGGTAGAAGTGTTGATACAATTTCTCCTTGTCCTTTTTGGTTTTTATATAAGAAACACTGGAAACAATAGAGAACAGCACAGCGCAATACAAATGGCTGCCTTTCATTAACCATAGACATGAGAAGTACTACAATTGCCGGTCTGTTGTGTTTAAAATAAGAACAAAAAGAAACATTGCAAATCAATAACTAGTTATTTTTGTTGATTGAAAAACCATAACCAGAACACAAGTATTTCCATCTCCATTTCACAGAAAGGATAACTGCAGCTTAGAGAAGCGAAATTACTTATTTGCTTAGGCACACAGCTAGAAAGTGGAAGAGGAGACACCTGATCCCAAATGCATAGGTACCAAAGACTACTAACTCTTTTAAAATACCAACATATTTATCTTGTCAGATAATTTCTAGTTTCAAAATACACAAACTGAACTTCTTAAAACAATATGGTGTGCATATGAAACATACTACAAACCCAAAGTAAGTTTTCACTTCATAGCAGAATCTCAATATTTCCCTTTTCCTACCTTGGTGGGTTTGAAGGTGCATTTACAGAAGCAAAGTAGTCTTGGTTTACTTGACAGCCTCGGATAACCTCTGATACAGTATTAATGGTCTATTAAAGGGGGAAAATAATTTAGAGAAAGTAAGTTAAGGAAGGAAACCTGTTTTCAAGTGAAGAAAATTGTTATATCTGCTTTTTGTTTTTCAAAGCCAAAATTCAGACACCAAATTAATCAGTGACAGCATATAATCTTGTAATATTTCCTTGAGATAACATTTAAAGAAATTAAGTATAGGCCTCCAATTAAAAATAACACTTGACCACACACATTTAAAATCTCAAAAACCTAAAATTAATATCAATAATATCCTTTAAGAGCTAGAGTCTATTTCTACAAAACAAGAAAAGTATGTTTTAATATAATATTAGAGAACAAATTTAAAATGTAACAAATTAAAGATTCAATTCAAGAATGAAGTTGAACCATGGCCAGTGTGAATAAATGATTAGAACGTTGGCCCACACACTAAAGAATCTTGAACTCGATTCTGGTCAAGGGCACATAACTGGGTTGCAGGTTCCATACCTAGTCCCAGTAGGGGTGCGTGCAGGAGGCAACCAATTGATGTGTCTCTCTCATGTTGACGTTTTTTTCTCTTCCTTCCCTCCCTCCCTCCCTCCAAATCTATGAAAAAAATATCCTTGGGTGAGGATTAACACACACATACACACACACACACACACACACACACACACACACACACACGCTTGGAAAAAACCTCTAAGAAAATAGAATTAAAAAAAAAAAAAGGTCCAGAAAGTCCAACAATCTATTAATAGAGTTGGAAAAACAGAAGAGAAAAGGGAACATTATCATGGAATACAAAAAACATGGTCAGAACTGAAGGACATTTGTCTCTGGCTTGAAATGGCCCAGTGAGCGCTCTTTCAAATAAATGAAGGAAAAACAGTTCTACAATACAACATTATCATCAGTAAATTTCAGAAAACCAGAAATAAAGATTCCAAAAGATTTAGAGAGAAAAAGAGCAGACTCTATAAAACATATTCTCTTGCCATTTATCCCTTTTCAAGAAGTTAACTAAAATAAGATAATGAAATGGAGGGTTGGGGAAAGACATGGAATCAGTAACTAAGAAATGTAAGAGAGAGGTGAAAGGAACTCCTAGGAGGAATGGTGAATGAAAATCCAGGACAAGAGTCGAGAATAACCAGTCCATATTGGAGCAGGATGACAAATGGTTTCCAGAAAATAAAATGCAAAAAAGAACACTATATAACACAAACAAGAGCAAGGGGTATTTAAAAAAGAGATATAGGCTCTCTTTGCCTCAGCAGGGGACAGTATATATATATATATAGTTGTAAGACTATAAGCCTTGATTATTGATTTAAAAATAAATTACTGGGGTGACAAGGGAAGTAAAGTAGGAGGCCTATACAGGAGGGTAGTGGGACTGATCGTAGGGAGGAGAGAGGCTGAAGCAGCTGTTTTTGTTATAAAACTTTTATTATTATCTGTGCTTTTATTGTGCAGGTGTTGAGAAAAATAAAAAAGATAATTTAAATAAACTAAGCCATTATTTTCTCTAAATGTAGGAAACAGAAAATGCCATATATCAGAAAAGAATTTACTATTTTATAAATAAGCAAAACTACTTAAGACTCAAGTCCTATTTGACTAAGACTAAAGTAATATTGTTCTCAAAATTGCAAACATAAATCATACCTGTTCATGCCTGTTGAACACAATAAAATTAATGAGAACACTTCTATGCTTTATCATTACTTATATATTATTAAACTTGATAAATGAGCCCACCTTTTGGAATTAATACTGTCATCATTATGCTAACTATATTTTAGTAGGATCAATAAGGATTTTAATACATAAAAAGTTAATTATTGCTGTTTTTCCTTTAGCTGATATTTAATTCTTTCTGATAATTCTTAGGATTTCAACTTCCACAGAACAGTCTCTGCCTTCATTCAGTTTACCTCAGTCAGGATATCAGCAGGAATCCCAGTAGCCATTAGGATAGTGCAAAGCTGCTGCAATAAGCCACACTGGAACATGGCTTTCTGGCAGCTACTGGTAGCACCAGGAGGGTTGGTGGGAGATACCAGGACACGAATAAGCTGCGAAAGAAAGAGAAACAGAATGTCTTTTAAAGATCAGAGACTTTAAAAAAAGTCTTGAAGCAAATTTAATCTATAGCAGCAGCAGCAACAACAACAAAGATCTATGTGAAGAATGCCCTCACCTGTTCAGCCAGATCTGGGTGCTCTTTCCTTTATGCTGTCATGACAATAGTTCTATTATATTACATGTTAATCCTAAATTTGTCTCCTTCAGTGATTGTGAACTCCCCGAGAGCAGAAACTACCTCGATTATTTTTGTATCCCAAATAAGGACAGTATTTATAACATAGTCCATACTCAATAAATGAATGAATGGATAAGTAACAGGGTGGTATTTTATCAAAGTAAGATTTCTTATTGAAGTAAGGATCAACACCTAATTATAGAGCAGGTCTGAAAACAGACTGGGTGAAGGTGTTTAAATTCCTCCTAACAGGAAATACTTAAAGAGAGGATAAACTAACAACTGGAGGCACGGTAGAAGATTCATGCATTGGGCAAGGGGTTGGCCCCACTGCTTGTTAATGCTAATTAAGTCCCTAATTCGGATTCTATGATTAATTAGTCTGAACTTAAACATGAAACTTAAGAAACATGAAAAGTCATCCCAAATTAGTGTTCAGCACAGTTACATCTTCAAAATAATTTTATATATAGTTTGCATTTTAAAACTAGTATAAAATTTTGTATATCAAAATCAAATGGGACATTTATAATACTTTATTAAAAGGGTTAACTAATTGATGATCCTAGAGAAGGCTTTAGGATTTCACATCGGTTCTTCTCCTTGGACCTTTCTAGTTAAGATTTCCATTAAAATTTTGTTGTTGTTGTTCTTAAAATTTATTATCTTTCTATCCCTACTTAAAATTTTTTATAAGCAAATATCAAGCTATTTGTCATTTCTCCAACAAATATTTCTATAATTACCTCTAACTGATATGGATTTTAGAAAACAGTCATCAAGCCATTAAAATAGTAATTTCTTAATATGATCTAATAGCAGTTAGATATTTTTATTGAAGGAAATACAGAAAAAATAATTATCAATTTCTAGATGAAAGAAAAGTAGAAGGAATGGCTGAAGGAGTCCTTATTATATGGATAAGAAAGCAGATTTTGATTCATATAGATTAAGTTTTTAATGATTTAAAGTTCTAAATATTGAAAAAGATTTTCT